TCCCCCCTACACACTTCCCAAACTTCTTGAAGGGAGTCACTGTGCACTGCCTACATTTGAAGAGGGGGGAGTTATGTTCCCCCTCCTTGAGGATGGAGTATCAATATATATATATATATATATATATATTTTAAAGATTTTATTTATTTAATTGACAGAGAGAGAGAGAGAGAGACAGAGAGAGAGGGAACACAAGTGGGGGGAGTGGGAGAGGGAGAAGCAGGCCTCCCGCCAAGCAGGGAGCCCAATGCGGGGCTCGATCCCAGGACCCTGGGACCATGACCCGAGCCGAAGGCAGTCGCTTCACCAACTGAGCCACCCAGGCACCCCTATATATATATTTTAAAGATTTTATTTATTTATTCATAAGAGACAGAAAGAGAGAGGCAGAGGGAGAAGCAGGCTCCCAAGGAGCAGGGAGCCCAGTGCAGGACTCGATCCCAGGACTCCAGGATCATGACCTGAGCCGAAGGCAGACGCTTAACCATCTGAGCCACCCAGGCGCGCGGAGTATCAATATATATTATCTAGAATTCTTCTGCTTGGGAGATTTATCTCTTCCCTTCCATTTATTAATTTATTCAAACATTTAAATATATCAATACAGACTCATGGATATTTATTTTATACTTTGGGTTATAATCCAATACTACTCTGTTTATTTATTTATTTATTTATTTTTAAGATTTTTATTTATTTATTTAACAGAGATAGAGAGAGAGCACAAGTAGGCACAGCGGCAGACAGAGGGCGAGGGAGAAGCAGACTCTCCGCTGAGCAGGGAGCCCGATGCGGGGCTCTATCCCAGGACCCTGGGACCATGACCCGAGCTGAAGGCAGCCGCTTAACCGACTGAGCCACTCAGGCGCCCCTACTTTGTTTATTTTTTTGCTCCTATTGTTCTAGGCTCGACCATCGGGAACTGCATGGTATGTATTTGCCCATCTTCTGACCTCTATCAGCATCAGCGTGCACATTCAACAAACATTTATTGAGCATCTGTGTGTGCCATGCCCTGTGATACTCAACCACGTTCTACATGTAGTTTCCTGCATAAGTGGAGGAAATGAAGAGGAAGAAGGAAACTGGAAGTTAGAGCTATGACATTTGAACATTAGCAAGGAGTAAAAGGCTCTGATTTGGGCTATAGAAAGGTCATCAGTCACAGGGAAGCCAATGGATAGCTTCTTGATGATTTGGCCAGATACGGTGGAAGTTTTGCAATTACTCCCGGGTTTCTGGCTTGAGCAATGGGTGGCTGGGGATGTCATTGGCTGAGATAGGGCAACCTGGAAGAGGACCAAGTTACAAGAGCGTGCAGAGTGTAAGGAGAAGACAGCTCAGGAAAGACAAACTTTGGGGAGCACCGACAAGGGCGGAGGTGATAGGAGGAAGATGAGCCAGCCTAGAAGATAGAGAAGAAACCATCAAAGAGATAGGAGGGGAGCTAAAAGCAGACATTTCCAAGAAGGGAGAGGCTGCACATGTCAAATGCGAGGGAGAAATCCAGTTGGGGAGCTGGGCAGTGTCCATTAGATTTAGCAACTAATTGGTTATTAGTGGAAAGGGGAGATGGGGAGATGCTGGACAGCCTTGGGCAGAGGAGGGAACCAGGGGTGAGGAAGAGGAGGTGAGCTGTGAATGGGAGAGCAACAGGGCAATCGTTGTAGGGTCAAGAGAAGATCGGTTATTTTAATGGGGTAGGCTTAAGTTCATTTCGGGCTGTAGAGAAGGAGCGGGGGCGGGGGGACGACCTTGAGGGAGGAAGACTGTAAGTGGTGGGGGTGGTGTGCTCAGGAGAGGTAGGGAGTCCCAAGGAACAGCCTGAGCCCCCTGGAGGGCGGGCGGTGTCACTACAGACACGTTTACAGGAGTTGCGGGTAGGAGAGGTTATTTATTAAATTCTTTAAAGTCCAAGGGCCTTGGGGCGCCTGCGTGGCTCCGCCGTTAACCGTCTGCCTTCAGCTTGGGTCGTGATCCCAGGGTCCTGGGATCGAGCCCCGCATCGGGCTCCCTGCTCCGCGGGAAGCCTGCTTCTCCCTCTCCCACTCCCCCTGCTTGTGTTCCCTCTCTCGCTGTGTCTCTCTCTGTCAAATAAATAAAATCTTAAAAAATAAAAAAATAAAGTCCAAGGGCCTTTACTGGTGGAGAGAAATCCTCACTAGTATGCAAACTTGGTTTCATGTCCCATTTATCAACCTTCTGAATCTACTGAGGAATTGATATCGCTTTAAGCAATCAACATCTCTCTAATATTCACCCAACAAATTCACCCAAATTAGGAATTTGACAAATTTCTCTAAACATTTTTTTTCTCTAAACATGTTAAGCACGAATTGCCTTTTGGCAATGCCAATAAAACTAGGGAACGCTTACTATTGTGTTTGCTACGTGCCAGGCACTGTTTGACATGCTTTATATGCCGTATTTCATGGATCCTCACAACCTTGGGAGGAAGGTACTAGATATCACCCGGTTCCAGTTTGGCATCTGAGCAGACTGAAGTCCAGAGAGGTGAAGTAAACTGCCCAAGGTCACACAGTTGGAAAATGCTAGAGTTGGAATATGAACTCAGTCACCTGGGCCATGGTGACTCTACCACAATTAGGCACTGTAATGGAAACATGGCTGATTTTTCGGAAGGCTTTACACACCTTAAACAATTGACAAAACAGACACAAAATTATTTCCAAACATAGTATGTCTGGTTACCAGGCCAACTGAGGATTCTTTGCAATGGTTATTTTCCAATGATCTAAACTCTGTCTTTAAAGTACAAAATGAGGGGCGCCTGGGTGGCTCAGTCGTTAAGCATCTGCCTTTGGCTCAGGTCATGATCCTGGAGTCCTGGGATCGAGGCCCGCATCGGGCTCCCTGCTCGGCGGGAAGCCTGCTTCTCCCTCTCCACTCCCCCTGCTTGTGTTCCCTCTCTTGTTGTATCTCTGTCAAATAAATAAATAAAATCTTAAAAAAAAAAAAGTACAAAATGAGGAGAGGGAACTTAGAACAACCTGGGTGTTGGGCCACATGTGGTCTGAGTCTGAGTGCGGACCTCCAACAGCAGAGTCCTGGATGTGAGAGGACACACCTGTGGTGGGATCATGCAAGGTTTGGGGGCCGCCGGGCAGAGGAGGCAGATGGAGGGGGGGCTACACACCGCAGGGGCTGGCCAACCTTGGCAGCTGCCCTCCAGGTCTTCCCATTTGAGATGGAGACGAGATGGCGGGACCCACCAAGCCGTGGGCCCACTCCTTCATGGACATAGTACCTACAGCGCTTTGAGCACATCTGTTTACCTCTCTGCTACATCATGGTTGGAGGGTGGGAATCCCTGCTCGTCCTGAGGTTTATAGGCCAAAACGATGTGTGACTTGGTGCCTGGGAGGCTCACATGGGTTCTGGGCGGCTGCCTTTCTCTGCACAGTCCAGGACCATGGGGTTTACTCTCTCCCAGACTTGAGGCCCAGGCCCCTCAGCATGGGTTTGAGGCTTTTGTATCTCCAAGGACTAGTACGGTGCCAGACACATTACAGGGCAAAATAAATGTTATGGATCTACTCCTTGGATGAATAAATGAACTAACTCCCCATCTTGTCAGAGCTGAGGCTTAGCAAACCCCATGTCTTGCAGCTATCCAAAAGACAAACTGAAGCATCAACTGGAAACCCTTCCCCCATCCTCTGCTTCCCACCCATATCAGACCTAGTATTTTTTCTCCAAGGCAAGATGGGTTAATGTCCCCTCCCAAGTCGCCCAGCTGACAGCACTGGATTCTGTGATAGGGGCCTGGGCCCCGCAGGCACCACTCTCTACTCCCCACCCCACCCTACTCCACCCAGTGCCCCCTTCGGCACCACTGGCCAGGCTGAAGTTGAAATTAACCAGCGTGGGGGGCAGGCCCGAGGCTCTGGGTCCTGATTGGCTGCTCCAAGGCTTATTCAAAAAGAAACAAGAAGCAGTGGGGGTGGGTGGGTGGGGAGGTGAGGTTGGTGAGCTTGGCCTTGGGGGGGCTCCCTGCCCTCCTCCAGGCTCTGGGAGGAGCAGCTGCTATTGAACTGAGTCTGTTGGAGCCTCTTGATCTCCCCACCCTGGGACACAGAGGCACATGGGAGGAATAGAGGTTTCTGAAGGTTCCCCCACAAGGTCTCCCCAGAGCTCAATCTTCCTGTTGGGTTTGGGGGTGGGCAGCTCAAGGTCCCCCGATTGGGACAGTCTGCAAAGGAGGAGAAGCTAGGGTCCGGGGTTCTTGGAACCCGGAGGCCTTGCAACTCTCCTTCCCCACCAGCAGGCCTTTGGGCATCCACCCCCACCGGCTGGGAATATCACACCTCAGGGTCCAGCATATGGAGGGCTCCCTCAAGAGACCCCTGTGCTGACAGGGTTTTCTCCTAACCATGGCACTAGGTCCTAATTATTATTATTATTATTATTATTTTTAAAGATTTTATTTATTTGACAGAGAGAGACACAGCGAGAGAGGGAACACAAGCGGGGGGAGTGGGAGAGGGAGAAGCAGGCTTCCAGCTGAGCAGGGAGCCCGACACGGGGCTTGATCCCAGAACCCTGGGACCATGACTGGAGTCGAAGGCAGATGCCCAACGACTGAGCCACCCAGGCGCCCCAATAGCTACTAATTATCAAACATGACTATGTGCCTAGAGCTCTGTACAGGGCTTCCTGTACAAAATCTCATACTACCTCCTAACCTCTCTGGGAGGCTGAATGTTATGAAGGATCTGAGACTTTAATGATATCTGGGAACTTACTCAAGGTCATACAGCTGGTAAGAGGCATACCACAATGCCCCTGCAAAACACACACACACACACACACACACACACACGGACACACCCATAGGCCCAGGCCCTGGGACAGACCCTGCCATCAGCTGTCAGGCAGAGGCGCCAAACATCTGGCTTAGCAGATAGGAGGGACAGAGAGGGGATGGAACTGTTAGAGGCGGGAAGAGCTGTCCCTCACATCAGGCCTGGCCCTTTTCTGGAGGAGCCATTTGTCGCTTCCGCCAGGAGGGACGGTGAGAGAAGGAGGGCTGGGAGGGGAGGCCCAGACAGACGGGGAGGCCTACCTGCCCTGGAGGGGCAGCCACAGAGAGAGACCCCAGGGGACGCATATAAGACACAAGCGAAGGGCAAGACAGGAAAGACAGAGGAGAGACGGAAGAGACCTCCCCAAGTCCTGCTCCTGCTCAGGTGCGCCAGCCGCCCTCTCGCCACCGCGACTGAACAGGAGCAAATTCCTGCGCCCCACCCCGATAGCCGCCTCCCCCCTCCCCCAGCCCAGGCCCAGCAAGTGTGGAGCTGCCCTCGTTGTTTACTGCGAAGGTTTCCTGTGGCGTCACAACTGCAACGATCCGCATTCTATCAGCACTTTAAAACGAGTGGCACCGAGAGGGTGACTGGGGGAGACCCCTCCTTAATGCCGGGGTTCCTCCCACACAGCAAAAGTTGCCCCGGGGACCACAGATGCAGCCTTCTAGACGTAGCACCCTGCCACCTTGCCTCCTGGCATCAGGGACCCTCCGAGCCCAGAGGGATACTGCCTGGGGCGGACCCCTCGCTCCCATCCCCCCAGCCAAAGAGGCTGTGGCCTACTTCGCATTTCTGAGTAGACCTGGGAAGGAGGGGGTAGGGACAGCGAGCTTCCCAGCGGAGCCTGATGGTTGGTAGCCCGAGTGAGGCCTAGGCGGACCCCACCCCACCTAGTTCGGAGCTCCTGCTGGGTGCAGGTCAGCCCTGAAAGGGGGACTGAGTCTCAGGGGGGCCGTCGCGAAGGGGAGGAAGCGCATAGGTGGGGGTCCCTGCAGGAAGACCCAGAGAAGAGCAGCCACAATGGGGAACACGTGGCAAGTCAACTGAAGGGGAGGTGGCTGGCCTGCCTAAGGAGAGGGACGGAGCTCAATTTAAAAAAAACGTTTAGCCAGGGGAAGGGCGAGTGCAGAGACCAGGACTAGTACGGCAGGACCTGGGATCAAGAGCAAGTTCACAGCCAGGAGGCCAGACCAGGATGTCAACAGAAACTGGGTCAGAAGGAAGAATTTGGACTTTATCCTGAGGTCGCCAGAAGCGGCTGGGCGTGGACTACGGAGTGCAGGGTCAGGGGGCCCCTGCTTACTGTGTATGGTTCCCTGTGTGCCCTAGCCCCCTAGCCCTGTGGGAAGGAAGAGGGGACCGCTCTCCACACTTCCTCCACCCAGGCACGGCTCCCATGCATGGAGCCTCCAGGTACGGGGCCTCTCTCCAGCCCACTCACCTGTGGGTTCTCTGCTCCTCCCCAAAGGTCCTTCAGGTGTGGAGCTCCCCACAAACAGGCCTGCATCCCCCCTCCCCCTGCTGTCTGGGCCCTAGGTGGGCAGAGGTTGGGAGGATTCAGGCCTGAATGTGGATTCCGCTGGAAGGAAGGGGTTGGCCAACCTGTCCACCCGCCTTCCAGGCCTCCGTAAGCCTGTAAGCCCAGTGCAGCCCCACCTGAGCCTGAGGGTCCCACTTGGGTCTGGCTCCCTGGGGCGGCTTGACCTGGAACTCTCACTGACTGAGAAGAGCCATTTCCTTGAGGGTTTGCCCTCCCTGTCCGCATTCCAATCTTTGTACCCTGGCTGCCCTTGTGGGAATCCCGTTCCAGTTCCACGCTTATGAGCGGTGTGACCTCTGGGAGGTTATTTGAACTCTCTGTGCCCCACTTTATTCAAATATTGGGAGGATTAACAAAGAACAGCCTGTAGGACAGCTGGCCTTGTTGAGGGTGGTCTTTGCGCCCTGTGACCCAAGTCTTTTCCTATGGCTGAGGAAGCAGAGGGTCAGAGCTTGCTGGTTAATGGGAAAGAGTGAGGTGGGAAGGGCCTAGAGTTTAGCCTCCCCACCCTTGGCTGAGGTTTGGCCCAAGTCTAAACTCTTCCTCATTCCAAAGCCCTTCAGTCTCCGGGGAGCTGTGTGCCATCCCCATTGCTTCTCTCTCCCCCTGTGGGCTGTGCTTTACCCCTGGGGACAGAGGCTAGACCACAGGGTCAGTGTTGGATGAGAAGGAACCAAAAAGAATTATTTGGACCAGGACCTGCTGGGCTGGGAAATGGAAGGGGCCAGCACTACAGGGGACGAGACAGCACTGTCAGTGTTCTGCACCAGAGGGTCCCACTTGTCTGGAAAGAAGCCTCCTCCTTGAAGCCTTCCCTGACCACTTTGCAATCTAATCAGAGAACTCCTGGGGCCTGAGCAGTTGCAGCTCAGCCTTGGCGAGCAGGGTGCCCTGTTACTGCATGTGGTAAGGGCCAACCATCTGTGCATCACTGAGGCATTTCTAGAGAGCTTTCCCATGTATTAGCTCATTTAATCCTCCCAAGGGCCCTGGGAGGGAAGGAAGATAACGTTTACAACCTCCAGCCTAAGGTTCAGGGAAGTTTGAAAGTCTTCCTCACCGAGCATCAGCTGAGACAAAAGTCCTGGCCCCCTGGTTCCAAGTCACACGGTCTGTCCCCTCCAGCACTTCTCCTGAGGGTGGGGCTACCTCTGGGCGCGAAACTTAAACTCCAAATTTCCTAGCGGCCTCGGAGAAAAGAAGATCTGAAAAGATAGGTAGGTAGTTCTCCCTCAGCCGAAACAAAGTGAAACAATACAACCTATTAGTTCCCCTGAAGTTTCAAACCTCTTCCTAGCACTGGGACCAACGAATTCATGGCTTCTATGTAACATCCTCACCCCGAGATTTGTGGAAGAGTTACAGAAAACCGTCCAAAACAACCAACTCTTATGTTGATTCCATTAGAAGCTAAAGGCATGCCATGGTGAGAACTCGAGGTGGGAACTTCCCAGGGAAACAGCACTAATAGAGTCCCCATGATTGTTTGCTGGCTTCTAACTTGATCCAGGGTGGAGGATCTCCTCTCAGGGAAGCGGGCGCGATGGGTAGAAAGCACTGAACCAACGCCGGAGCCACAGAGAGCAAGGTTCATGGCCCTATTACCTGCTATGTCACCTTAGGCAAGTTACCTAATCTCTCAGAGCCTCATTTTCCCCATCTGTTTCCCTGAAACAGTTATTGTGGGGAGTCATTCATTCATTCAGTAAAAATTCAGAGCCTACCTGTGCCAGGCACTGTGCTAGGCTCTGGAGATACAGTGATAGACAAGTCTAGCAAAAAACTTGCCCTCATGGAATTTATTTTCTAGTGGAAAGAGGTAATTAAGCAGGAAACTATCAGCTGGTCAGAAAAAGAAGAGGATTTAGCAGGTGATATGACTCTGGCAGAGAATGACAGGGCGTCCTCTAATTTTCATTCTCCTTTTCTTCCCATGAACTAGAACTCTGGACACAAGACTTCCCAAAATAAAGACTACATTTCCCAGGCTCCCTTGAAGCTGAGCATAGCCATGTGACTAAGTCCTGACTAATGGGGTGTAAGCAGAAACAGCCTCCAGGAAATGTCCTTCAAGGGAAGGGGCGCATCGTCCTTTACCCTTTCCTCCTTCCTGTTGACTGGAATGCAGAAGTGATGGCTGAAGCTCAAGCAGCCATCATGAACCACGAAGAGAAAGCCACTTGCCAAAGATGCCACAAAATACAAGGTACCTGGGTGGAGTCCCTGACACTGTAGAGCACCAGGGCAGCCTGGGACCTCCTACTCCAGGTTTTACATCAAAGAGGAATAAACTCCTGTTTTGCTTAAACCACTGAGATTTTGGGTTTTCTATCACACACAGTCCACCCTGATTTTCCTTGACACTGTGATAGAGTGGTGGGGGGTTATCTCTAAATGGTTGGCCGAAGAAGGTTTTTTGCAGGGGTAACATTGATCAGAGGCCCGAATGGTGAAAAGGAGCCACCGGGGAGCATCCAGGCAGGGTGGCAAGAGACAGGCAGGAATAATGCAGGTGCCTAGGGCGCCTGGGTGGCTCAGTGTCGGTTAAGCGTCTGCCTTCGGCTCAGGTCATGATCCCGGGGTCCTGGGATCGAGCCCAGCTTTGCGGGGGGGAATCCCTGCTCAACGGGGAACCTGCTTCTCCCTCTCCCTCTGCCTTCCGCTCCCCCTGCTTGTGGCTTCTCTCTCTCTCAAATAAATAAATAAAATCTTAAAAAAAAAAAAAAAGAATGATGCAGGTGCCTTAGTGGAGCAGGAAAAGGGGGGTGAGCAAAGGGCAGGAGGGGCCTGCAGTAGGGAGTGGGTGTCACCCCACATGGGGGGAAGTCATGAAGGATTTTACACAAGGGAGTGATGTCTTCTGACCTGTTTTTAAAAGGTCACTCTGCAGGGCGCCTGAGTGGCGCAGTCAATTAAGCATCCGAGGACTCTTGGTTCCAGCTCAGGTCCTCATCTCAGGGTCCTGGGATCGAGCCCTGTGTCAGCTCGGTGCTTAGCATGGAGTCGGCTTGAGAGTCTCTCTCCCTCTCAGCCCCTCCTCCCCACACACTCTCTCTCTCAAATAGATAAATCAATTTTAAAAAAAAATATACATACATACATACATACATACATACATAAAATAAAAGGTCACTCTGAGTGCTGGAGGGCCCCTAGGGGCCCCAAGTGAAGCCAGGTGATCAGATGGGAGGCTCCTGGGGTGGTTGAGGAGTGAGGTAGTGGGGGTATAGGATTCCCAGAGAGGAAGGCTGGGCTGGTTCATCCCTGAGCTCCTTTCCACTTCCACTCCCAACCCCCCACCTCCCCTGTCCTCCCACCCCCACACCGCTCACCTGCCCTAATGATGACTGGTCCATTCATAATGTACAGGGATTACCGCCCATTTCCATTAACCCCCGGCCGGCCCTGCGCCTCCAGCTCACGCTGTACCTTACATCTCTCTGGTCCTTCCATGTGGGAGGCCTTGCTCCCTCTTCTGATGCACTTTTCTAAGACGCAGCTCAGAAGACTCCCTGGGGACATCTCCACTTCCCAAATTACTTGTCATTCAGGCCCACCCATCCTTTGTTCCTACCCGTCATTGCACTCTGTGATTGTTATGTGCTGCCATCCGCACTGGACATGGACTCCTTGAGGAGGGGGTACTGTGTGATTCAGTCCCCATGGCTCCTTCGCCCCCTACATAATCAGTCCCTTACCTGTGTCCAGAACAGGCGATGTTGTCAAGGTCGATCCCGTCTTCATTTCATCTGGTCTTCACAACAGTCCAGAGAGGAAAACCAAGAGTGGAGAGAAGATATGGCCAGTTCAAGGTCATGTATCCACCTGGGTCACAAAGCCTCCTGCCCCAGCAGTTCCACTGAGCACAGATGTCCCAGCCATGGGGCACTTTCCCATGGTTTGAGTCCCCAGTCCATGAGGGCACAGGAAGTCATATCTTCACCAGGAAATACCCATGGGCCCCTCCATGTCACCTGGCCAGACCCTGTCCCATCTGGCAGCCTCCTGGCTCCCTTCAGTGGGTTACGCCATACCATCTGGACATCCCTTCCTCTTAGCGGCCACTGCAAACCACGGCCCTCTTTGTCCTGAATGTGGGCCCAGATCTTCCCTCCAGTGCCTGCAGGGGGACTGTCCGGCAAGGCTTTGCTGGGGGCTTGGGGAGAGCCGCCAAACTCACCCAATGGGTACCCAAGAGCAGGTGTGAGATTATGAGCTGTGTCTGCCTTCAGTGGTCACAGGCCCAAGCTGCTCCACCTAACACCTCATTGTCAAGTCCATTGCAAGGGATAGCTTGCTGAAATGCCATGAATCCCCCCCCGCCCCCCCGCCCCCCCTTCTCATGTGGAATCTCAGCCTCTCCTCCTTCAGACCAAGAGAGAGAAGGCAGCCTCCTTTCCAAGGCCTGCTGCCGAGTCCTCACCTCTCACCGAGGACTACTACATCCGGGGATGATGGAAAATGAGAAAGTCTCATCCTTCAGGAGAACTGCACTCCCTGCCCAGAAGTTCTCCCTTTGGGGTAATGTGTCCCAGTCCCTGATCTGGGCTGTGTGGTCTGGAATGACATCATACAGAGCGTGCAGCCAAGTCACTGCTCAGGGTGGGCTTCCTCAGGCTCAGCCCGGGGATCCACCCCTAGCTTCCCTTGTTCCTGCTGACACTTGGCCTTGGCTCCCAACCTTCCATGAGCACAGGCTTGGATAAGGACACCCATGAACCTTGGAGAGGGGAACCTGGTAGGCTCTTCCCTTAGAACTAGGAAATGGGGGCGGGGTGGGGGACCGGAGGGGGTGGTAAGAGGGACTCCATGGGAGGAGGGAATCAGGGTACACACTCAAGGCGTCCTGGGGCCCTGCTTCATTCCCCCAAATGCCAGGCTTTCTGACCATCTCCATCCAGCCCAGGGGCATGGCTAAAGGGAGGTAAGCCCCTCTCTTATTTCCTCAGCGCCTCGCCCAGTGCCAGGCTCGTGGAGCCTTCAGATGAACCGAAGCCCAAGTTGGAATAAAATGAGTGATAGGAGCCATCGCTTCTTCCTGGAAAAGCATAAACAAGCAAAACGGGATGTTGGGCAGATTTGGGGAAACATCGGCATTCAGTCAGGACAACAAGAACGACCCAGAACACGTGGTGTGAGTAGAAAGAACCAGAAGCCAATCCACTCTGCTGCTGCTTGCGTGTCTGGTGGGCTGTCAGGGGAGGGTACCTGCAGAACCAGCCCAACAGCTGGGCCGACCGTCCCCCTAAGCCAGACGTTCCCACCGCCAGCCCCCAGCTGCCAGTCCTTTCTGGGCCGGGGAGAGGGGCTCCCGTGCTGCCTCCTGCCTCAGCGACCTCTCGCTCCCGGGGCAGGCAGCAGGGCAGGGTGCCCGGGCCCTCCAGGCTGTGGTGAGAGGGCAGGGTCTGCACCTGGCGTTTGCTGTCGCTGCCGCAGCCCAGTCTGGCTAGGGCTTGAGACAGATCCTCCCAGCCCAGGGTGAGCACCAGTCCTGGAGAAGGAGGAGGCACCCCCCAGCTGCCTTTAGCCAGGGCCTCCGTTAGTGACTAGCATGGAGGCCGAGGGGGGCAGGAGGGAGCACAGGGCCTAGCGTCAGGCGGGGAGTGGGCCTAAGGCCCTGCTCCTGCTCCCCCAGCTAAGAGGCCCGGGCCAGTAGCCCACCTCTTGGCCCCTGGCTTCCTCATCTGTCAGAGAACAGCAATAAGGACCTGAAGTCTGCAGGGCTGGGCGCAGGGCTGGGCGCAGCGCTGGGTGCAGGGCCTGCACAGAGCCCCCGTCAGTCCATCGGCTCTTCTCTTCACCTGGAAGCCACTGGACTACTCTGTCCCTCCAGGTGCCCTCTGCGGGGACTGAGGAAACTTCAAGGATTAGGTACGCCCTCCAGGTGAAGCCCCAGCCCAGTGCCCAGACGCAGGAGGAATTGGCTGCCCCTTTCCGTCTCCGGCGGGCTCGGCACGGGGCAGGCTTGTGGTTGAGACCCAGGAAAGGGTGGGGAAATTGCTGGATATGCGGTCTCTCTGTCCTGTCTGTCTGAATTGGAAATGGGGACTCTCCAAGCTGGTAGCCACAGAACCGGGCCCTCTCACTTTATAGTAAGGGCACTGAAGCCCAGAGGGGGCAGGCACTTGCCCAGGGTCCCACAGCCAGTGGGTTTTGGTGCTGGGCTAGGATGGTTTCCCTTCTCGGTGCCCAGAGCAGTATCTACAAACCCCCCTTTCTGTCGGCTTTCAAGCCTCTCTTCATTCTTGCCCATCTGAACTCATCTTTCAGTCTCTGCTTCTTTAGCAACCAGAGCCCAGAGACAGGTGACTGGCCCCAGCACCCCCAGGAGCCGAGGCTGCCCTGCTGGGGGGTGTGGGCAGGGGCATGGCGGGGGCGGAGAATGCGGGCTGCGCTGGCCTGGGGGCCTGGGCCAGGCTGCTGACAGAAGAGCCAGTGTGCCCAAACATTGGGGCTTTGTGAGCCCTGAGCTCCGTGTGGGGAAGGTTGTTTGTGTTGACCTGACATTGTTTCAGGTTCATTGGCAGCGTCTTAGTGCCCAGGGACCGGCTCTTTGGAGCCATCCAGGGTCTTGGGGAGAAGGTGGCTAGGGAGCCCTAGTCTGGGGCAAGAAGGGGAGGGGGCTGCCTGGATCCTCTGTGCACTGAGCAGGTCCCCGTGCGCGAGGCTGTAGAGTACGAACGAGTTCAGGGAAGACACTGAGAGAGAGGAGAGAAGGCACCTGTGTCTCTTGGGGCCAGAGCAGAGGAGCCTGGCCAGAGTGAGGACGGACAGAGGCAGGACGGGAGCATCCAGGAGCTGGGGGCACACCTGCCAGGAGGCTGAGAGCTCGAGAACCCAGCCATCGAACCTTAGTCCATGAAGGAAGACCCAGGAGAGTCCTTGGGATCCAGGAGGGCAGCAGGAGCTCTTGGGGGCAGGCCGGCTGGGGTGGGGTGGGCCAGACGCACAGCTGTCCAGATGTGTGTGAGAGATAACTCTGTTTACTGGGCACCCAGAAGGAGCAGGGCGGGGGGGTGGGAAGGGGCTCCCCGGGATGGTGGGGCGGGCAGATTAGGAGGCGGGGGCATGAGTCAGGGGTTTGGGAGCTGCCCCCGGGGTTTGGGAGCCAGGACTCGGTGTGCTGTTAGAGCAGGTGTGAGCTCAGCTGGTGGCAGAGGACACCCGTGGCTGCAGGAGTTCGCTGAGGGACCCCAAGGCTCGTAAGCAGGTGAGCAGGGCTGGGAAGGGCCGGGGGTGGTCCTGCGGCACCTGTCCTGAGGGTTTCTGCAGGTGCCCAGCCTGAATCCGCGCCCAGGTGGACAGAGG